CAGTCTGGCCCCCCATGTCTCCCCTTTATGGTCATAGTCATTTGAACAACACCCCCTCCGTGCTTTTCCCCTAAACCCTCACCCACTGCCACTATACTCCATTTCCTCTGTCCCTGTCCCTCTGCCTGGATCAAGTTTCCCTACTTTGGCAAGTGCCACTCTCTCTCTCTCTCTCCCGCACACATATACATGCACACACACTCCCTGCCAATCTCCACCTTCACTCCTCCCCACGCTACATTATAGCTTGTTGCACTATGTTGGCCCCTGGCATCTTTGGAATTGTTTATGTACCAGAGTTTTGATATGGCTGGGCTGCCTTTTCAATTACTGGAATGCTGATGGAGGGATGGCGTCTTCTCCACCCCACCCCCCAATCACTGTCTCCTCCTTTTCCTCCCCTCGAGCGCATTACCCCACCTGTTAACCCTCTGATATGATGGCACTAGCGAGTTGGGATTTGTGGTGAAGGCTAGCTGGAATATGTCAACTCATATTTGTAACTGAATAGGTTTCTGTGTTTGTGTTTGTGTGTCTGTGTGTGTGTGTATGTTTTGGATTAGTTCACAGTGATTTGTTCACAGGCATCAGTTTTGCAAAGACTGCTCATCCTTGCTGACATGGGTCACATGACTCGGGCTCCCTCTTCAGACTTGGCGTCATAAGTGTAATGATAAATTTGAGTAATTAACAGGCATATTAAAGAGGATTTATTACCATTAAAATTGCACAAGCTTATGAAGGAAGACTATGACATCGCAGCTCTCCACTGTAACCTAATATGAGCATGACTGTGTGTACCTTCAGTATCCCTGACTAATTAAAACAAGGATATGTAATCTACACACGTGTCACTATGTCACATATCTTTGTGGTGACCTGCCTGAAACCTAAACCTATGGTGGGATTAAAATGCTTTACTGAGAAGATGGTTGGCCAGGTCCAGTCAGGAGTGATTGCCAAGATAGCAATGACCCACAGCTCCATGGCATGAGAACAGTGTCTCCTACCTTATTATCACAATATTACCACATCTCCAAACACATGGTGTCATACACACATGCACACACCCTCTATAGGCCAACATGCATGTATTTAAAAATAAAGACACACAGTACATGCACTAATGCAGTCATTAAAGGGTCCAGTTACAGGCACAAATAGTGTATGTACCTCCGCCTCTGTGTTTTACATCTTCATATTTAAAATACGAAAAAAAAAAACTTTTCATTCTATCACATAAAAGCCAGTCTGTTGTTTTATTCATCAAAGTAGCACTACAAGTATACCACAATGTCAGCCCAACCTGACTCCCTCTTTAAAAACCTAAAAGAAGCATCGTGCATGTGCTGTGATTTTGGTTTTTGTTTATTTTTATGAGAGCATTAACACAGATGGCAGTGTGGTTTGTGTTTGTCGGTTGTGCTCTACAGCTGAAAGGTTAATTGAGGAATGGACGTGAGTGTGAATAGTTGTTTATCTATTCACATGACGAGCTGATAAACAGACGAGGGTGTACCCCGCCCTCAACTAATGACTGCTGGGATTGGCTTCAGCTCTTCCTGAAAAGTATTAAGTGGTACAAGATGAATCACTGGATGGATGCAGCAGACAAGGTCTAATGATGAACAAAGCACAGCTGATGCAGACTTTAAAATATATTTTTAATATTAGGGACCCTTTTGGGAAAAGGTGGTTTTATTAATTGAGTGGGAGTCTGAGAAGTATCCTGATCTAGCTAGACTAAATCTACATGTTGATTTTGTAGTGTGAGACAGTCGGCACAATACGCCAAAATAAATTTCACACCTTTTGCAAGCAAAGTGTCAAAACTTTGACAGGAGTCGTTTGTCAGTACACCATGAAGAGCCATGTGGTGCAGACTTACCCAGCTGTGCAGTATGCACCTGAAGCAGTAGAAGTAGTTAGGACTTTTCTTTTGAGGTTTCTAGCCCTTGTTGATTGTTTTACTGTGTGAAACATATTGTAAAACCGCCGACAGACACGCATTACCGCATGACTGTTATAGTAGTGTAAAATGTCATGGAAAGCAGAGGCCTTGGCTGAAAAGGCAAGGAACATTACATTTATGACAGAAATCACACAGCTGCCACCGTGCTTATTTTGACTCAGTTATTGTGGCAGCTTCACTATGGTGACACTTGAGCTTTAATTGTGCTAGTAAAACATTGGGTTGCTATGCAGAACGTGAAAGTGGAAATAGTTCCTTCTGATTAAAACCCTGTGATGTGAGAAAGTGGTCTTGGCATAGCATCCGTGGAAAGATATGCTATAACATTCCATGGCAGAGTCATAAATTGAACTTACTGTAGGCCACTGCAGGACAAAGGGCTCTCTGCACTGCCACCACTGCTTCTCATCCATCTAATACCTTGTTTTATTTTGAGTATGTCAGATTATCCCAGCGTGCTACAGACAAAGTAAGGTTGTTCGTTCATTTTTCTGTATAGTTATCCTGACAATTACGCAGTTAAACTCAGTGTTTTGGGGTTTCCTTGCAAATTGGAGATAATTACTTCATGCAAAATAGCCTGTGTCCAGCCAGACTTCATTTCCCAGGAGGCGTAATGCTGGGAGACTGTGACATGGGGAAGTTAGCCACCCACAACAGTGTGTTTGAAATGCAGTGTGGTTAAGTCCAGATCCAGACGCAGTGGTTAGAAGAACTATCGGCCTCACGTAGTACTCAGTAGTAGTTAGTGCATAAAAAACTCTTTCTATGGTTCTTGTTTTTGTTCACAACCTGTTTCCCAGTCCGGGACAGGGCAGAGAAACCCACACTTATTTAACTTGATTTATCACAGAATGAGAAACTGAACCTGCAGTGTGGGAGAGGACACGATAGAGACCATAAAAAAGAAAAAAAACTGAAGTAGAAATTGAATGAATCATGAGATCCACTTTGTTGTTTGTCAGAGGGAGTGTAAAGAGGAATTAAGGTGGATTCTTGTGCTACTTGTGTATACTCAGAGAAGGATATGTTTGAAGTACAAAGTCATGGAGAGTTGGGGAAGTGCTCCGGACTAGGGGCCAAATGAATCCAGATGTCGGTGCATGTTCACAAGGTGGAGTCCACATGTACAGTAGTTGTTTTTCCTTCATTTGCTCTTTTATTTCATTTTTTCCTGGCAGTGTCCCTCCGCTTTTCCCCTTTCGTATTCTTATTGTCACGCTTTTGGCAAATAAATTAATGAGCCTCTATGACAAGCACAGAATGTCCTGAGGGTTTAATGAGTTTGTCATAAACCCCTCCAAAGGATCTGTACCCCATCCTACCTGAATTCTTTTATGGTGTCATTTTTTATTCTTATTATTTTTGTGGAGTTTTTGTGGAGAGACAGTTCCAAAATACGAAGCACCATGAACCTCCTGAGGTCTATTGATCCTCTGACATGTAGGTCTTCTGGCCTGACTGACTGATTGACAGCAGAGCAGACGTACTGCAGTGCACATACTCATATGATCTGCAGTCCCGTGGGCTTAGCAGTGGATGTGAAACTCCGGCTATAAAACTTCTCTGGCAGTGGTATGTCGTTTGTGTTCACTATAACCTCTGGTCTCTCATTCTGCTGATTGTGCCGGTCACTCGGTAGTTAGACGGGTCTAGAATGTTCTCTGACAGCTTCTCAGCCGGCGGTCAGGCTTTTACTCGTCACCCTTCGCTTTACAGCTACAAAAACCAGCAGACCATCTCATGGCTGTCCACTCTGCTTGAGTCACACACATCACACTGTTCAGAATCCGTTTAATGGGCTCCCTACTAAAATGTTTTATGAGCTGGGGCTGTGCTGATCATGGTTGCGAGTATTTTCTGGCGTATTAGGAATGGCCGTCTGGGTGTCCCTGCGTGTTACACACACACACGGCGGTCATGTTAGTGCAGCTGTTTAGAAGGACCTGACTGTTGTTACCCTTCTGTTCGTGATGAAGGAGGGGCTGCCCACACATCATGTCAGGTTGGTATTAGCCGCTGATCAAATATTTGTAGATGGGAGACTTTTTATGAATGACAATGTGCATAGCCACAGTTTCACGGGCATGTGCTGGTGTGTGTGTGTGTGACTCAAGCATACATACGAATGTGACTTTGTGGGTTCCATGTTGGGACCCTCCAACTCTTGTCTCAGTGTCATCACAGTTGCTGCAGATCCTTCATGTCCTGGCGTGCTTCTACACTGACCTCACTCCCCAGGAAAAGTGCAATATGTCAAGGACACATATATGTAAACCAACACACGCATACATGTGCATACAGTTTCACTGTTGCTTTCTGGTGGACATGTGTGAAGGGGGAGGAGGAGGGTGGGTAATAATATTAATGATTAAATGGATTAAATGGAGAGGAATTAGAAAAATAAGATCAATGTGTCTTCATCTGTAGTTCTTTTGGTATTTATCGAGAAGTTTAATCGGTGAGAATAAAAAAAAAAATGAACAAGAGAGCTGGTACAGCCTTCATGGACAAAGTAGTGAAAATGAACAACTGGAAAGTTAAAGCTGTTTTTCTAAATTTTATTTCTCTTCTCCATGGTTACACAGCATCCCGCGTAGCAAAACGTGGCAGTGGACTGGAGCTAATCAGCTTCTGCACTGACTTCATTGATTGCTTCACTTGCTCACCAGGAAATGACATAAGAAGTCAGTGACTCAACTATTTTCGTGCGTCCTGCAAATTGGTTGCATTCCAGAAATCCTTGCTGAATGACCAACCAAATTTAAAGTGTTTGCCACAGGAAATGCAAAGTGGAGGCATTTGATGCTGCCTCCCTGGATCATTGTCAATGTTTTCTCTTTTATTTTGACTGTCCTTCACTCAAGCTCTCTCGCTTGCACACATTTCTGTATTATAACACAAGGTCCATTAGCCATAGCTTTTCCATACTTTTTGAAAGACTAAGATGAACATTTATTTTTCTGCTCTCATTTTTTTTTGTAATAGACTTCAGTATATCAGTTTTTGTGTTCTGTTTATCTTGCAGACATGTTCCAGTACCTCCTGTCCTTCTCCCAGGGCCACCTGAGTTCCCTGCTGGAGGTGGCGTATCCAGTGATGTCGGACAAAGCCCTGCCTCATGTCAACCAGCTCTTCTCTTCACTCTCCCTCTTTCTCCGTGGGGCCAACGTTTCTGTGGAGGCTGCAGTTAACCAGTTTTTTAATAATCTCTTCCCACTGGTCTACACGAGGCTCATCAACCCAGGCATTGATGGCAGCCTAATGGATGACAGTGAAATGGGTGACTGTCTTCGTATGATCAGGCAGGATGTGAACCCTTTCGGACCTCATCCTGCTGACATGGCCCAGGAGCTGGCTGAGGCCCTGGGAGCTGGTCGGCAGCTCGGTCTGGCCCTGGATGAAGGTATGGAGGTGATGAATGCCACGAAACACCTCGGTATGACGAGAGAATGTTTGAAGGGCCTGGTGAAGATGGTGTACTGTTCCCACTGCAGCGGCTTGACACTTATCAAGCCTTGTGCAGGATACTGTCTAAACGTAATGCGAGGCTGCTTGGCTAGCGTGTCAGAGCTGGATCAGTCCTGGAGGAGGTATACAAGTTTGTTGGAGCAGTTGACCCATGCCATGGTTGGGCACCACAGCCTGGAGCTGGCCCTGTTGGAGATCAGAGGCCGCGTTAACAAGGCCTTGCTGTACGCCGAGCTTCATGGTCCACTCATCACCGCCACAGTAAGTACTGGGGGAAACACAGATCAGCAGCTTTGAAGGCACATACAGAAAAACCTCTAAATCGTCTTGTAAAACATCCTTGTTTTAAACATATACGTTGGCAGCATGCATTGTATTGATTGGACAGGGTGCTCTGGCTGCATGTGCCTTGTGAGCTATTTTTTCCACCAGCGTAACAAAGAACCCTGCACACTCCATCAGTCTCTGCACAGTTTTGAAACTATTCATAGAAAAATAATGTTTATACTTTTACAAATTTCAGCCTCCTCCAAAGTCTGAGGCCAGTGAAAAAAAGAATGTTCCGAAACAGTGAGGCAGATAAAAATCACCGTTGTTATTTAGATTCTTACTCTCAGGGAATATCATGGATTCCTTGTTGACTGTGATGGAAGGAGGAAAACTGGAGGCTATGATGAGCATTGGGTATATGCATACTCTAAGTACTACCATATGCCTTATGTTAGAAGGGGTTTTAGGTAGAATCTAAGGACAACATTAGGTCAGCTTAATTATTGTAATATAGTTTGTACAGAAGACCGTGGAATTAATTAGGGAAAACACTCAATTTTAACATACACTTTTGTTGTTTAAGGTCAAGGCTTGACATTATAAAAATACTAATAGGACTCACACAGACTGAAATAAATGCATCCTGTTTGAAAACCTTTGCTGTAGGACGGGGGTGACTAGACCATGCCTTATTAGTCTCAACATACTCTAAATATCTTTACAAGTGCAATGCAACATAAATTTCCCAGCATGACACCATTGTGCAAGTCCTAACAAATAACTGTCAAAGACGGCATAAAAACCTGTTACACACATACATTGATGTCGACACTAATTATTTTCTAAAAATGTTCACATGCTCTCATGACCTTTATAATGGCTATGGCTCTACAGCTTAGCTGTTATTGCTAAGTGGCTCCATAAAGTTAGACATGACTAAACACTGCGCTTAGACAGTTGCTGAAACGTTTAAATGACATCTTCAATAACATCCTTTAACTAATGACTCATGATTTCTCTACTGTCTTTACCTCATTATGAGGATCATAAAACACAGTTCCTTATAATTTCTGTCCACTCTGAGACACACATTAGCTCATTGGCAGTGTTTCACTTTGGGAGTAGAAAGAAAAATGCCTCCAATGTTGCAAGGTTGTTTTCTAATATATTTAATGGGACCACTCACGGTCAAGTCCAGGCTGGAACTGTTCCCAGAAGTGGACTAAAGCTACAAGACAAACACCAGTGTGCATGCCAGTGTATTATACATGGGTTATTCTTATTACGTAATGTAGACATCATTCAGATGAAATATTAACATGCAAAAAAAAAAAAAGCTCCACTTCGCTATACTTTCCTTCCAAAAATATTATTTATCACAGCTGAACTTGTATTTGGTAATAAAATATTCAGGTTATACCTCTTAGGTCAACTCTGGGTCAGACGGACCAGCCTTTACTTTGAAACATTAAAAGAGCATTTACTTTATTAGTTACTGAATGTTTCACAACACGGTACGGTGAAGTATTATGGTCCATCAAACAGTATTTAAATGTTTTCTTGTGGCCTGGTGTCAAATCCTATTAACCTCACATTCGTTGAGCCTATTTAAGTGGTAGAATTAAAACATTGCTGTTAAACTGTCCGTTGCCTTTTCACCATTCTTTATGAGAGGTGCTTTGAACTGCACCAGAATAAACTTAGTCAAATATTTGACTGAAAGGCGAGAATATATTTAACACATACAGCCGTCCTGGTGAAAAATAGGGTTAGTAGGGGATAGTAATTCATGATTTAAAGTGGGCTGTGTGCAATTCCTTTCCGATTTAGCGCACAATTCTAATGTTTAAATTTACACAATAAACAGAACCTCATACAGACAGACAAGTGAAATTTGTTAGGCTCAAAACCCTAATAGTAAAAAAAAAAAAAAAAAAAGATGCATTGGATTTTGAGAAATGATGTGACTCTTGTGTGTGTGTGTGTAGTTGCTTGGTATTCATGCGGTGACTGGTACACTGGGGAGCAGGGGAGACCAACACTCCAATAAGTGCGATTGGGGTTGAAAGGTTTCCAGCTAGGCCATACAAACTAGGCCCAATCGACTGAAAAAGAAGAAAAGATGAGAGAACTGCTGCTGGAAGGGAAAGCGACATCAAACAAACACTGGTGTCTCTTCTTTGCTGCACTCTCAATGGCTTCACACAGCTGTAGAGTGCACACACACTGATGTGTGGCGTCCTCTTTGTTTTCTTTATCGCTTAGCAAAAATTAAATGTTTAGAGTTCACACTGGCTGGCGATGGAGTTGAAAATGATTACTGACATACAATAAATCACCTAAAATATGCCTCTGCTGTGCAAAGGCCTTTGCACCTCTGTAGTAAAGCAGCCACTTGCAGCCCAATGACTGTTCAATCGTGCGTGACTGCACACTCACTTTAGCATGCTCTGCTTTAGTAGGCGTCCTGCCAGGAGCTCAGTAAAAGGCCATTACCAATAAAAATGACGGGCTTACCTTATAATGTTTGCAAATGTGGACTTGCATGATTCGAAGAAATCATGTCACATAAAATACATTTTAAATGGAGCTCTGCTCCATACTTCTCCTACCAGATAAACACTTCCTTTTAAACACACATCTTTCTTTTTGTATTAATACCAGGTCAAATTTAGTGCGTTTTTATATGTAAACTCCTTCTGCAGAATGAGAATATTGAATGTTGTTATTGTAAGTTGTTATTGAAGGGATTATTGTGACTGTGTGGTTTTACACTGGGATCTAATCCCAAACCATTTTGTGGTCGCTCCATCCCTCACTTTGACTACACACAGTCTCTACTGTATGTTATACTTTCTCTCTCATACGACTTAGTTCAAAGTATTTACACTTTAACACAGAGGCATTAATATGAATGCAGGAATCAGTGGACTAGATACAACTACCGACTGTATGGCCCACCCTCTGACAATGCTAATGCTATTGCTTTTAAGCCTGAAAGGCAGCCATTGATATGGTGCAGGAGTAGGATACGTTCAGTTTCAACACATTTCTTCTCTTGTTGGAGTGAAGTGTGAATTCACTTGAAGGGGAAATGGTTACATTTAGTGGTTGAGCCTGAGGCTGGATGATGCTGAGTTGACACAATTATGAGAAAATTGGGAAAATGTCCAGTAAAAATGACCGCTCTTACAGGGCCCCTGGTAGCTTAAATGTTTGTTGAGAGGTTTCTCCTACTGAATACTGCACTGTTGGAGTCAGTTTTAAACCTCCCTCCCTCCAAGGTCACTGAGCTGAGAGACCACAGACTACTGTTTGTTGACATGACAATGAAAATAATATGGCTCATATTAGCAAAATGTAAAATATGTTACATGATTTAGCTCTAAATTACAAATAGTATATTATTACTAATATGTAATAATATATTATATAATATATATAATTACAGAGATGCATCTTTGAGTAAAGTTGTAATTTATACACTGGTAGATGTACTCATAAAGCAAACAGTAGTTTTTAAATTTTTATTTTATGTATTTCTCTCAGTGTATATAAGACACACTGAAAGATCAGCCTTCTCTAAAATGTCGTAAAACAAATCTGGTAGCTGAAGGAAAGTATGCCTTAGGCCTGTGTATATCTTCTACCAATCCTTTCAAGCTGTGCATGTGTGTGCCTTTGGCACCGAGTCCAACCCTCAAGTTGACTGACAGACTTACTCAGCACTCTATTAGCTAATGCTGGGGAGTGCAGCTTCCCTCTGCCTTATACCTTCTCACAGATAATTGAGTCTTTTCACTGTACTCGTTGCTTTATTATTCTGTCAATGTGCAACAGCCTCCATTCCTTGTGTCCAGCATTTACTTGACCCTGCAGAAGAAGAGGGAAAAAAAATGCAACGGTGTGCAGTTGCTGCATGTTTCACTTGATTGAATTAGACCTGAACACAAAGCATCTTTTCTTTCTGTGTGACCTCTGACTTTGACAGGTCTTATCATATAATTTCCACGATGATGTGTTTGTCAGATTTGCAGTTGATGATAAGTTGATGAATTGTTTCTGAAAGGACACTTAATAATGGGGTGATTTTCTTTAGATCCTCAGGGTCTGTTTCTCAGATGTTCATTGTTTTTGACTTTGGATATACTCTATGCATATGTGTCCGTATGTGTATGTGTTAAAGAGAAGAATATGAAATATATCGCTGTCATTTGTGGGGATTAATAAGTATCGCTAACAAAGTTCATACCCCAGCTCTGCGCAGAAATGTGACTCAGGATTTAGACCAGATTGCTTCACAACAAAATAATCAATCAAACATTCGCCACCTTTTTTAGTTTTTTTACTAACATATTGGACACAAACACAGCAGACCTCCAGCTATTTGGACCAAAAAGTCAAACTAGTAAACTGGTTAATTAGCAGGTCTATTTGTTCTAGGGATGAAGGGAGCATCTAAATTACCAACACTTACGCATTTTAATGACAACGACTACTGTTTGCAACCAAAAACAAATAATGTTTTTGAAACACATTACAAATGATAACTTGTTGCTAAATGGTAAATTAACCTTTCTTCTATTCTTTTTCAAATTGTTTTGTATTTATTTAGACCCCCATCCCATAATCTCTGCTTTGTACCTTTGTTACTTACATACTGTATGTTTAAACACATACAGCTTGGTATTCAAACCTGTCTGAGCTGGTGAACATACTGTATATACCCACTCCATCTGTGTTATGAGCCCAGACATGTGGACTTAAGTTTTTCTTAACAAAGCCATTTTCCTCGCTTGTGCCCATATGTTCCAACGTATCGCAAACACAGATGGGATGAACTTACATAACCTTCTACTGTCTGTCTTTTTTTAGTTCCTTTATTTCTCCAAGACATCTCGCCGCATTGTGTGTGTGTGTGTGTACTTTTTGTAAATTTGTTTACAAGGACCGACTGACACGCTCAACAGTAACACCCTTATTTACAAGGA